TGTGGTGCTTAGGGGCATGGTTTAGTGGTGGACTTGGCAGTGCTAGGTTAACAGTTGGACTTGATGATCTTAAGGGTCTTTTCCAACCTAAATGATTCTATGATCCATGTTGGCATGAGGTATGTTAGAGGACCACATAGCCTCTGTGCAACCTTGGCACTGCTTGGTGATAACCATGTAATTCTGAGGGCCTCTCAAGTCACTCAGCAATCCAGACCGCCTCCTAATATTTTAACATCCTCTGCTCTACTTCAATGTAGCAAACAGCTCTATGAATTAGAAAAATATCTCTCTACACATGTAACAATAATTATAATTATAGTTATGTCTTGACTTACTGTGTTAGTATGGACAAATTTGGGTATTATCGACTTCGATTTATTTGGCCGAACAACAACATTATAATAGCCCTTGCTCATAAATCCTTACAGTGGCTAATCTCAGATGGAAGTTGTGTGGCTATTTGATTTCTATTAAATACAGGTTTTTTTTCTTCCAGGTACTGTAGAAATGACAAGGCCTCATGCAAACTGTGACATAGCACAGATTCATAGATTATACAGATGTAAGAGAATGCCCTAGTCATCTCATGAAGATCATAAAAAAAACATATACCACAGACTTCAATCCCTCCTGCTAAAAGAGAGCCTCAACTGTAAGTTCACTAATATTGATGACGCATATTAACACTATTTTCATTACTGAGGACCTCTAGTCTCCTACTGCTTCTTGAATGTGTATTTATGTATTTATATCACCATCCAAATTCAGTAACAAGACTATTTAAAATACATGAGTAGGTTCTGCCTCAAAAAAAAACAAAAAAAAACAAAAAAACCCCAACACAAACAACAAAACAGTAAAACAAAATGAAACCACAATAAAACAAAGCAAAACTGCAAGGACACTGAAAATGCTATAAGAGAACCCAGCATTTCACAGAATCAAACCTGTGGGATGGGAATAGCTGATTTAGCTTGAAAAGTTAATCCATACAAAATGCATGCATTTCCTTTCTTGCTGTTGTATCTTAAGAGGACTTCATAAGGTTATCATCATTTGCTCCCCCTGCCAAAGATAGCATATCTACTATATGTACTTTTAAGCTAATTTAAAATAAACTCAGGCATTTGTTTCCACTTGCCCTTGTTTCCATGTCAACAGCACTTAATGAATGCATCATTCCAGGAAATGTCAATAAGGAGCAAAGAAGAATGAACAAGCACTGAAAACTTCACACATGGCATACATCCTTCACAATCATATCACTTTAATGAAAATAGGTGAGGTCACCTGCAGCATTAGCAAATGCTTTGTAATACATTCTGACCCAGATGATTTTTCACAGTTCAATAACACCACGTTTGAAGTTTTCACTGCAAACAATACACCCACAGGACTGACCAAGTGTGGGTACAAGAGAAGCAACCAGCAATTACTGTGTTGACTTCTGTTACTTTGATCTCCGGGTCATGACCTTTGCTTTCACACAATCTTCAAAGTAGAGATTGTAGAATAGGTTATTTTAGAGGATGTACTGTTTTGCAAGCTACTTTTCTGTTTCTTGCTTCCTGTTTGAGCCAAAAGCTTTTAAAAACTTCCTATCGCCATTATATTTTAGATATTTTGCATTCCCTTGCTCTCACTCCCAAGATATAGCTTTACAAAATATCACCTCCCAAATATAGAAAGCTTAAAAAATTAGATAAAAAGTAAGAACTTATGGCACTTCCCCACATCCCCACCCCGTCCCGAAAGAAACGAAAGCCATTTTACAATGATGGAAAAAACCATGAGTTTTTAAAAGGAACCAAACAAGTTTGCTTATAAGAATACCACAGAAGGGAACTCTCCATTTTCTTTTCCTGTCCAAGCAAAAATTCCAATAAGAAACATAGAAATGTTTTCATCAATTTGTTCTGCTACACATTTGAAAGATAAAGAGGAATAACAGGGATGGAAAAAAATAGGTTTTCTTTCTTCTTTTTCTAAAAAAAAAAAATCCCACTCAAATGTTATGATGCTTCTTAGGAAAAAAATATTTACTTTGAGAACAAGTCACAACATTTTTGTATGAAACCTATTTTTATTGAAAAACTAGGGAAAAGCTTTAGTATTGAAATTGATAAAAATGGTATACCAATCGATTACCTGAAGAACTAGATCTCAACTTCTTGAAAAAAGCATAGTTTCATACATTTTCCAAGTATTTATAATAAAACCTAATTATTTTTAAAAGATGTAATATTACTTTTTATCTCTGTTACTAGTATCATAGTAAATCACTGGACCTTGAGTATTTAAAAATTTGATTTTCCACATTTTTTTAAGGTTCAGATTTTGGGGGTTTTACAGATCTTTTCAGTTTGTTGGAATGAGAAGATTAAGTAAAGCTTTGATTTCTAGCACCTTTCTCTTTCTGGTTGAGGAATTAAATAGTCTGAACTCTAATTGAACTCAGTGGGAATGAAATTAAAGCTCAATGAAAAATGAAGCTGTGGTTTCAATGGTCACTGCAAAAAATTACAAAAAGAAGTTCCTACTCAGAACAAAACCAAACCAGTTAAAGTTTATGGTAAAGCAAAATGCTTACATAATTCATGTTCACTGAAAAGCCACCTTTTGATGCTTTCCGTGTGACAAATTTTCTCAAAAGAAATAAAAATCTTATAGAAAACAGTTACTTCAAACCATTAAAAAAATGCTGAAATGGGCCGTTTCAAATGTTTGCTTTTGGGATTTGAATCAAGACATTTGATAAAGTACAAATACTTCCTCACTCAGGAGAGGTTGCTGCTGTTAAATCTGAGAGATAAATCTGTATGGGGGAAGGAATAAAAAAGTTGTGTCCAAGATGCTTCAGAACATGTATTCAAAACACTGAATTTCAGGGTAAAATTAGCAGAGTACTTTTAATTGGTTCCACCATGTAGGTCAATATATATTCCCCTAAAGATAGATGGATAGATAGATGCTTTTGAGCATTTTTGAGCCTAGTGTTGTCTGGCAAACACATTTCATATAATGTAACAAATAATTATGGAAAAGGATCAGAAAGCTTTCATTATAGCAGTAGAACCATAAATCATTCAACTAATTAGAAGCCCATTCTCCTTTCTTAAAAGGGCTTTAATTAGCCTAGTTTATATAGAAAAAAATATCCAGGTTTTTGAAAAATTGAGGGGAAATAAATGGAAGCAAAGTTGCAGTTTCCAGCAGATGCATAAATACAATCACTCCACACTTTGACACGGTGGTTTGCCACAATGTGACCTAAAACTACCTTGACCTCCCTGAAATCAACATTTTTGCATTGAAATGAAACAAAAGACATGCTTGTTTTGATGTATGGCTATGTGACATATTATAAATATTACATCACATAACCACAGAGGATGTCAATCAATACAGAATTTTTTCAGACAGAACTAAATGAACCATGGGTTCTTGCCTCTGAATGGCTCCTTTAACATACTACTTTTGCTTAAATGATTAATAGGAGACATATTGTCAGAAAACATACTTAAAGTGAAAAACAGTAAACTGTAGAAATATCATTCATTTTTCAAGCAATTCTCTAGTGCAAATGTCACATAAATTTACATAGAGACAGCACTATTAGACTCTCATAAGCTGGATAGTAGGCATACCTTCCACTTAAGTGTGAAAGCAATGGGAAAATATTTTATTAAATCTAGGCTGCTCTACTTGGTGAAAACCAAAATGCTACAGTTAAGCTGGATTCAAAAGTTGAAAGTCTTTAGGCTAATGATAACCTAGAAATCCCTCTCAAAAATTTGGAACGAAAGAAAAAGAATATGCACACCTGGGACATCTGTGCTGCTGATTCAATCTACAGCATTTATGAGCAATAAACTGGTGCATCAAATTCATGCCACTTCCCAATAAACCTGCTTTTAGTCTCTACCACTTTGTATTGTTTGATACTAACTCCTACAGCAGAGTTTGGATTACATGAAGATAAAATCAGAGTTTTATTATATAACTCTAAATACTGAAGGCGATCTGCTAATAAAAAGTAAGCTCAGGCTCTGCAAGGTCAGCAGCATGGTGACCAGTGCTGCTTGGCTCTCTGACTTGCCTCAGCCAGCCATTTTCAGCCAATGTGAAAAATGCCAGCACACAAAGACTGAAGTCCTTTATCAGATGTGAACAAGGAAAAAGAAATCCAATGATTTTTTTTTTTTTTTATATAATCAATGTCTCACTTGCTTAAACGTTATAGCTATGAAAATTATGTCACTTCAGCAGACATTCTGTAAGTTTTGGATCTATACTCACAGTCATCAGTCACAAGTATTTTTATTTTTAAAAAAAATAACCCTTGTAATTTTTAGCAGTATTTCACTTGGATCAGTTGGACATGTGGTATTTTATCAGGCTTCCATATTAATTTCCAGATGACCTTTTGTGTAATCTAGCTCATTAAAATTACATTATAGAGATAGTTTGAGGTTTTTTATTTGAATCTAAACACTAACTGCTCTGAGTAAAGCAGCACAATACAGAAGGAGTCCTTTCTTCTGTGTTCTTTAATAGTGCCTTGATAACTATAGTAGAAGAAACTCATCACCATAATCAAATGTTAGCAGAAGACAATGCAACTGGCTGAGTGTAGTGATTTTTTTTTCATTGACTGTCACCCTTAGTATATGTAAATGTTGCCTTACCTTCGCCTTAAAGAAGGAAAGGCTGTAAGTAGGCACATATGAGCACCCACATTCAGGAAATACTGTGCACACCTGCTCAACTCAAAAATGTGCTGTACAGCACAGAAATATTTGTTGAAATAGAGTTCCTCAGAGTGATCTCACTGAAATGGTGTTACTCAGATTCTCAAGTGTTTCACGGAAGAATATGCCACAATGCTTTCTGAATAGAGCAGATGATTGATTGAGACTCTGAGTTGGTTTTAGTTCAGTATTTTTCTGGTAATAAAACTGACATACCTTTTCATATCTAGAAATGAAAACACTAACCTGTACCTCTGGTAGTCATCTTCATCCTTTTCTTTGCAGACCAGTTCATTTGGGCAGGCCTTGTTTCCAAGCAAACTGAGATACTGTAGCGAGGGCACAACTTCAGCCAAATGGTCCAAAAGGCTTTCTAATTCTGTTATGTGTCAAAGGTTGTGGGTTAAGGATTCAATGACATTAATGAAAAAAGCATTTAGAGTTGAATCACTGCTGATTTAAACATACATTTCAATAACTGATGATCAAATTTAGTATAGCATTCAGGAAAATGTCACATTAATTGTTCCAAGGGCAAACAGGGATAAACATCAGTCAGTTTTTTGGCATGGAAGGAAAGAATTTGGCCATTTTGTCATTCTTTTCTCCTCCTTTCTTTCCTAGGTGGTTCACTACAAAACATTAAAACTTTGACAAAATGATGGATGCAGTGTGGTAAAATGGCTAGCAATTGCTGGAGCCATGAAACTTTTCCAGCATGGAAACAAACAGTTAGTTTCACAGCACATTCATCACTAATATATTCAGTCCACTGGAAAATGAGTTTAAAAACAAAAAAAAAAAAAAAGAAAAAAGTCAAACCACAACAACCCACTTTCGCTCCCAGCATATAAATGCTTCGAGTGTTACAGCAACACATTCGTAATTACTCAATTAGAATATGTGAATTAATGCTTCACTAAGTGCAACTTAAAGACTCCAGTGTTACAAGTATTTTATATATGAAGCTTTAAAGTCTTGGAAAGCATAAAATTTTTCATTAAAATAGCCTTATATTTTGGTGTTCATGAGGCTTTTTACCTTAACTATATTCCTCAGAACATAAAAAATGATGATACACCTTCGATATTGTAAACTATGTTAAAACAAACAAGCAAACAAAGGTTAAACTATCTTTTAACAACTGCACTATTGGAAATCACAGCTTAAAGGTTTTAGCATAACAACAATATTCAACCATTTGCACCTTGTTGATTGATCAAATAAAGCAAATTATCTTGTTACAGTGTGACAGTCTCTAGGACTCGAACTATACATTCTTATTTACTTCAATTTACATGCAAAGAAAAAGGCATGATTCTCAAAAAAGATGCCATGCATATGCATGTAAAAAGTTTTCAATGCTTAAAAATTGACTGACTTTGACAAAGTAATAATTATTCAAAACCATTAAAAGACATGTCATTGCTCTGTTTTTATCCACTCCTGCTGTTAGAGACCACAACTATTGTTTTAAATCCTCAGTTCACTTGTGTTGCTATTATTTATACTTGATTTATGTGTTTCTGTTATCTTTGTTATTTTTAGCTGATGGAATTTACTTTATTTCTTCACCTCAATATCTTAAGGGCAGCAGAAGCAATACAGAATGGAAAGAGCAGCTTCATTGTTAAAAATGTAGTCTTCCTTTTGTAAGCCTGAAATTTTATTTTGTTTCCAAACACACATGAAGATCATGCTGACAATTACTAATTCTAATATATTAAAATCAGTGTATCTACAATCATAGTTAATGTTCTGTCCCATAAGGTCTGAGTAATCATACTCAAATATTTTGCATGAGTGACAAAAATGAGTGTCTGAAATTAGTTCTATGAATTAATTAAAAAAGTAAAAATGCTAACATTTAATTTGGCAAAGCCATGTTATGGAATGCTATATGCCAATAAGCAATCAAACAAACCCTAAGAAAAATTGTCTTTTTGTAGCAGCATATGATATAAATCTTTGTTAGCCAGGATGAATTCCCAATCAAAATTTTGTGCTAATTCTCATCTTCTCATATCTGGACCTCAAGCTCATACATAAAGTTTTTCATGGTTCTTTCAGGAAGTATGTAACTGGGATGGGAAGGTCACAAACTGTTTTTCCACACATGTTCTAGTGAAAGGCTTTTTAAAAATTTCCTAAGAGTGTTAGAGAAGTGCTTGAATCTGGCACCCTTCCTCAGCCAGGAGCAACACTTAATTTCTTGCAGGATTGCTTAAGTTGCAAAAAGGTTCCCTGAGAGAAACAGTTTATTATCACAAAAGACAGTTATTTCCATAACAGCAATCACACACATGGGGTTACCTATTGGAAGGCTTAGATTGTATTTGGCCATTTCCTATCGAAAGGAAAAAGAAAAATAAAAATTAAAACAAACAAACAAATAACACCAAACTTTTTGCTTCTTCTATGGAGTAAACATGCAGAATTTTTGCTTGTCAATTCAGTAGAGCTTTTTCTGGTGCAGAAGCTTTCTTCCCAAACAATTTGCTGAATGTGGAGTATGACGTGTATTCTAACTCCCAACTGACCATGCAGGCTTAGGGGCAAATATCAAAATGTATTTAGATATGTAATGATGAAGAGCAGTGTCAGGTTAGATTTGCAAAAAGCATAAGACTATGCATCAAAGTCCTATGGAAAGCAAAAGGGAGAGACACCAAATTCACCGAGTTTTGGGTAAATAACAGTAGTTGATAATCTGCATCTCGAAAATCTAAATCTCCCCAAATTTGGAAATTAGTATCTAGATTCTGATATCTCATATCTAAACCCTTAGCACTGATTTCAGATGCAGAAACACCCCCCTAAAAATTATCTCGGGCAAGGATGACCAGGAATCACACATAGATCTCTTACCGTGCAGTTCCGTGTGAGACTCCCCGGATCTTTTCTTTGTTATCCCTCTACTGAAATAGATATTTAGCATCCTAGAATTATTTCAAATTCAGCTGCAACAGAAACAGAAACATGTGCACAGGACAAACCCCAAGAAACAGACATAATCACCTGAAAAGTAGAAGGTCACTAACTCACAGAAAAGTTGAAGCTTTGCAGGCTTGGACAGACCGAAAATAACAGGACACCAGCAACACTTGAGAACAAACCAACCTGTGGCTTATGATAGTCAACTTTTTTTGTGCCAGAATCAGCAGTTATAGCATAAATAAAATAACATTTCTGTTCTTTAAAACTTTAACTATCTTTTCTCACCCCTTTTAAAAACAAAACGAAATGCAAGGTACAGATTATTCTTCCAAGAAGCCCCATTCACCCGCCATCACAGTTATTCTTTACAAAGCATGTAGGAAAAAATAAATGATACCCTGTTCAAATTCTCGCGATTAAGTGTTTCTCAGAGATGAGACATAAGTCATGGTGCACTTCTAGTGTACTGTTTAGTTAATTAGCATGTCATATACTTATTTTAATCACAATATTGGAACTATATGATGCCAAAAAAAGTGTAAAGTCTTTCTAAAACAATGCTAGGAAAATACAGAGAGAGAAAATCAAAAAAGTAGTCTGAAATTTTATTGACAGCTTCCTTTTTATGGTTTATTGTTGCAGTCTAAGGAGTGTCATATTGGTGCAATCAGAGCCAAAGAGCTGCAAAATCCTGCTGTGCCATTTCTAATACCAATTTCAGCTCCATTCTCTCTGAAAAGGAAAGCTGCAATTAAATCCATGGACAGTGCTAGTGAATATTTATTTATTTGTTTGTTTGTTTGTAGCTCTGTGACAACACCCCTGAACTGATCTTTCTGAAGTCAGTGTCACTGGTCACCAGGTGAATACGTAACAGTGAGGCAAATACTTAAACTATAGTGTATTGTTTGAAAACTGGTTTAAAGTGTCACTGCTATGATAATTAAATTGCCTTACTGTAGCAATCCATCTCGTAATTCAACAGTATCATCGTTACCAATCTATTAATGCCTCTCTTTCTAACAGACATTGACTAAAATAAAAACTTGTAACAATAATAATTTTAAACTCTTCAGGTCTTTAGCTCACAAGCTAAAGCATTAATTCTCAGCAATTATACAACAATGGTCCCTCCAAAACCACAATCTGGCCTCCATGAATAATTAACAGAAACATACTAGACATACTTTAAAATTTTATCCTCATCAAAAGACTATACTGACTTCTTGCACTATTTCTAGGTCTAAGTTAGGGAAACATTTACAAGAACTGGGTGTATCTCATACTCAGATCAACTTTTGTAAGCCTCATTATGTTACACATATGTATACCATACAGGCATATTTATAGAAGACAGTTCACAGAATACATATGCACAAGCATACACAGCCACGTCACCATATTTTCTGCTCAGAAAAACAAGTGCTACCAGCAACACTTAGACATTAGCAATACAATTACTTCGAAAATATAGTACTATCGTGGGTCCAGTTAAGCTGCAGAGCAATATATTTTTTGCACGTTTTATGCAACCAAAAATATCCTACAAATAAGTATGTTCTAAATTGTCTATTTTCACTTACTATCTGGTACCCAATACCATAGTTTTTGAGGTTCTCCAGAAGGCAAAAAGAACAAGCAAAAGCCCAAAGCAAATGATGCATCTCCCTTCTCTGGTTAAGAATTAACTTTCTATGCAAGCTCATAACATTTTTGTTTGTTTGTTTTGTAGAAAATCCTGTAGCCTGGACTATGGCCCCTTACAAACCCTTTAAAGATTAGTTCCACAGTATTCAAGACTACTGCCAAGGAAGGATTGGTGTGATTCAAAGTTAAATTGTCCCCAGGGAATATTACATTTGAACAAGGTCAAAGCTGTAAACTCTGAGTGGATAGTATAATGTCACTTTGCTTAGTCAATTTTAGGAGAACCTCACAAGCAGGAACAGTCATTTTGATGCTAATCTGTGTCTTGTGACAGCCAGCATAGTAAAAAGACCATTCTGTTATAATTCTGAAAGGTTGTGTGAATTCACACAGAAACTACTGGATGATGTCTCATGCGTTCCACTATTCCAGACCTCTGTATTCTCAAGAGTCTCTTTAGGTGCGTCCTTTCACTAGTACCTTCAGCGTATTTCCAGGGCACAGACACTGCGTGAATCCTTTATACAGAGCAACATAAGGGTCCAGCTGCTTTAAGTGCTGAGGACTGATGCTGGTCATCCCCAAACTCAGCACTGTTTCCTCTCTTACCGGTATTCTTGGTATAACCATATTCACGGTTGCTCTTTAGAGACAACTGCTGGTCAAACCTATGCAGAAACACAGCCTTTGCTAACAGTTTCTAAATGAAGTTATTCTGTATAACTCTATACAAAAGCTATTGTAACATATAACTGTTCAAACAAACTAACCTATACCTATTTCCTATCTCATCACTAAATTA